CTATGGGTGTTCCTGGTGAAGTCTGTGGTTTTTTTTATCGGGAGTTGTACCGTGACAATGTGGCTGTAATCAACTTCCCAGGGACTGCTGGTATTGTTTTTTCGGTGGAGCGTGGGGTGCGACAGTGTGATCCTGCTTCGATGCTTCTCTTCGCTTATGCGCTAGACCCAGTGCTGCGTTGGGTGAGGGCCAAGCTCACTGACCATGTCCCTCGGATTAGAGCCTACGCTGATGATCTCTCCTTCTGTCTTCCCAACATCCTGACTGACCTCCAGCCGACGCTCTCGCTCCTTCGGAAGTTGGAACATGCTGTGGGACTTGGGCTGAACATTCCCAAATGTAAGGTATTGGTGATTGGCTCGCTTGATCCTGATAGATTAGTTGCCCACCTTCGAGCCAAGGGGAGCGAGTACCACCGCATTGGGTTTGTTCGCGCTGTTTTATACTTGGGGTTCTAGTTCGGGCCTGGGGCTCTGGACAAAGTATGGAGCAACACCATCCCCAAGTTCTGGATGACGGTTCGGAGGCTTCGTGGACTTGGGCTGGGGCGTCCACAGACCATTCGCTTTTTCCACTCGCACTGCATGTCGATTTTGGCGTACCAGTTACAACTATGCCCAGTGACCACGGCTCTTCGGAAAGCGTAAAATGAGGCCTTACAGGTGATTACTGCTGGTCCCCGCCATGCCTTCTCGAGGGAGATGCTGACGGGCCTCCGGGCGGTGGGAGCCTCTTTAGAATGCTTGGATATCGATTGTTTTCCGAAGGCTGTCAAGTTTCGGGCGTTGATGTCTTGCTCCGGTATTGATGCTGTCCAATATGAGATGGAGTCTTTGACGGTTTCCCTGGATGACGGTAACTTCATTCCCTCTCGCCTGTACTGGCCCTGGTGGAAGTCTTCCTGGATCAGGAGTACGGTGACTGAAGTAGGCACTTTCACGGCCCCGACCCTGGCCCCCATCCCCAAGAAATCACTTCAGAAGAAGGCGATGCGCCAGCTCAGAGGGCTCCGTGACCCCACTGTTCCCCTCCGCGCTATGGTTGAGAGGGTGTCCAAGTGGGTGGGTCCCGACCGTTTTACGGTAGCTGACTTTCAGGTGCTTGCCCAGAGGATGCGTAAAGTTGAGAAGGACCGCACGATGCACCTTGTCACGGGGGTCCTTAGAGTGCTCTGCCGTGGGGTTTGTACCTCCAGTCGTCTGCATACCACGGTGGTGGGCTGTGCGTTCGGGTGTCCTCTGGAAGCGGCTGACGATGATCTGAGGCATTATCGCGCGTGCCCCAAGTTGAAGGCAGAGTTGATTGACAGACTCCCCCGTGGTGGACTTCTGAGGTCTTGGACCGCGGCTCTAACGGGTGAGGATTGGCTCCTCACTCTCTGTTGTCTGGGGCCACCGTGGGGGCGGTCACGTGACCTAGCGGGGCGTGCCCTAATTGATTGCTTTCTGGCCGCGCATAATGCTCGTCGGACTGGCTCGGTCCAGCCGGGGGAATTCCTTATTAAAGCCAGGCTTCGGCAGTTGTCACGTCGGCGCCCCAAGCTTAATGAGGCGTTACGTGAGCTGCGTTTGAATACTGCTGCTGCCGCCCCTCCCCCTGCCCCCCCTGCTCCTCGTGCCGCTCCCCTCCTCTCCTGAGTTGGCCGCGCCCCCCATTTAAGTCCCCCCTTTTCCCTGTGGCCCCCTAGGTATAGGTCCATGCATGACGCTGTCAGAGCTTGATGTGACCCTGGTGGGTCTCTCGGGTTGGCTGGCTGGTTTTCCGATGTTTTTCTTCCCCACATCCTGAGTGGGGTTCTTGTTTTCCCAGAACACCCTCTCCTTCCCACCCACCTCCCGCTCCATCTTCCATACAGCACAATATACCATACCATACCATACCATACCATACACCATACACCATACCGTACCATACCATACCATGGCGTACCATAGCATACCATACCATATCACACCAATGTACCGTACCATACCATACCATACCACCATACCATATCATACCATACCGTACCATACCATACCTACCATCCCATTCCATACCACTCCATACCGAAAACCATACTACTTACATGGTTTCGTGCCCCTCCCACCCCTCCAGGGAGGCCCCGCCTGAGCGAGGAGGGTATCGGAATACCATACTATTTACATGGTTTCGTGCCCCTCCCACCCCTCCAGGGAGGCCCCGCCTGAGCGAGGAGGGTATCGGAATACCATACTATTTACATGGTTTCGTGCCCCTCCCACCCCTCCAGGGAGGCCCCGCCTGAGCGAGGAGGGTATCGGAATACCATACTATTTACATGGTTTCGTGCCCCTCCCACCCCTCCAGGGAGGCCCCGCCTGAGCGAGGAGGGTATCGGAATACCATACTATTTACATGGTTTCGTGCCCCTCCCACCCCTCCAGGGAGGCCCCGCCTGAGCGAGGAGGGTATCGGAATACCATACTATTTACATGGTTTCGTGCCCCTCCCACCCCTCCAGGGAGGCCCCGCCTGAGCGAGGAGGGTATCGGAATACCATACTATTTACATGGTTTCGTGCCCCTCCCACCCTCCAGGGAGGCCCCGCCTGAGCGAGGAGGGTATCGGAAACCATACTATTTACATGGTTTCGTGCCCCTCCCACCCCTCCAGGGAGGCCCCGCCTGAGCGAGGAGGGTATCGGAAACCATACTATTTACATGGTTTCGTGCCCCTCCCACCCCTCCAGGGAGGCCCCGCCTGAGCGAGGAGGGTATCCGAAAACCATACTATTTACATGGTTTCGTGCCCCTCCCACCCCTCCAGGGAGGCCCCGCCTGAGCGAGGAGGGTATCCGAAAACCATACTATTTACATGGTTTCGTGCCCCATCACACCTCTCCAGGGAGGCAAAACCATACTATTTACATGGTTTCGTGCCCCTCCCACACCTCCAGGGAGGCCCCGCCTGCGCGAGGAGGGTATCCGAACACCATACTATTTAAATGGTTTCGTGTCCCTCCCACCTCTCCAGGGAGGCCCCGCCTGAGCGAGGAGGGTATCGGAGAACCATACTATTTACATGGTTTCGTGCCCCTCCCACCCCTGCAGGGAGGCCCCGCCTGAGCGAGGAGGGCATCGGAAAACCATAGTATTTACATGGTTTCGTGCCCCTCCCACCTCTCCAGGGAGGCCCCGCCTGAGCGAGGAGGGTATCCGAAAACCATACTATTTACATGGTTTCGTGCCCCTCCCACCCCTCCAGGGAGGCCCCGCCTGAGCGAGGAGGGTATCGGAAAACATGCTGTTTACACGGTTTCGTGTCCCCCCTCCACTCCTCCAGAGAGGCCGCGCTTGAACGAGGAGGGTCGCGGAAAGCATTACTCTTCGCCAGGTTTCGTAGCCCTCCCCCCTTCCAGCGGGGCCCCGCCAAAGCGAGGAGGGCATCAAGAAAATGGGTCCCACGAAACCGTTAATCTCTTTATGTGGGGAACTCCGTTAGCATAATGTTTGTTGTGCTTTCCCTCTGCTCAGTTACGTTTCTTGGTTAATTCAGGGCCCCGCGTCGTCGCCTGGGTTGCGGGCGCTGTTCAGTGCTCCTTGTGACCCTCACCGCTTGCAGGATGGGGATGATGAGGTGCAGCTTCGGGCGTTCTTTAGGGAGAGGCACGCTGACAGTTGGGTTGGCCCGCGCGCGTGAGAGAGTGCCTCTCTTGCCCCCCGCCGCCCCCCAGCCTCTCTCCTGCCGCCCGTCCTGCGGCCGCCCCGCCTCTTTTGCCTGCCGCGCCTCTCTTGCTGTCCTTGAGCTACCACAGGTTCTCGGACGGGCGGAACGGTCTGGTTCGTTCGGGCGTCGATCGATCGTCGCTCCTGTGGTGTTGGCAGGCCTTCCCGCGGCGCCAAGCCGTGGCGCTTGGTGAACATCCAGACACCCGATACGTCTGGCGCGGAGGAGGCCCCCCCCCTCCGCCGCGCCCTGCCGTCGCCCTCAGGTTCCGGACGAAGTTCGAGGCACCTCGGCAGCCGCTCCGCGCGAGGGAGCGCCCCCCTCTCGCCCTCAGGTTCCCGACGAAGTTCGTGGCACTTTGGGGGCCAGCAGACTGGTATTGCCTCGGTTTGCGTGTTGGGTCCTCGTTTTGGGACGTGCCCCCTTTGTCTGCTTCTGCCTGATGCGCCTCGGGTTGGGCCCTCGGTCAGCCGAGGAGTGAGCGTGGCCTGGGAAGGATGCTCGAGTGTGAGATCCCCTTTTGGACGGTGGGCATTTGAAGGGGCGCGCGCCCGCCAGGAATCCTGTACACTCGGAGCAGAGTACCCGCCGCCGCTTCTCTTTGCCCTGCCCCTGCTGCTGCCCCTCTCTTGTCCTTTGCATGCCTGATTGCACGGTGCCCAGTGTTCGCTGAGATGGACTCCTGACTGTTGGGGAAGACGTGGGCGCGCGCGATAGCGGTGGTAGGAGAAGAAAAAAATCCTCCTTCTCCTTCTCCTCCTCCTCCTCCTCCTCCTCCCCCCCCCTTCCCTCCCTCCTTCCACCCCTTCCTCCCCCCTCCTTCCCTGTTCCTCCGCTTCATCCTCCGCCTCCTCCTTTGCCGGCAGCTGACATCTCTCAATATTGGCATGGTTCAAGACGCCGGTGGCCCCCAACTTGTCATTGCCCCCCTGTTTTCGGATCGTGGCTCGGCTCTCCAACGGCCGCTCGGGGCGATCGCGGCATTCCTGGAACGCTTTCGACGAGGCGCAGCGGAAGGAGACCGCCGGTCCAAAAAAAAATCGAGGGTCCCCAAAAAAACAAGAGAATTGCCAGATAGCAACGCGAGGAGCAGGAGGAGAAAGCAGGAAGAGGCATCATCAGGAGCTGGAGCGGCAAGAGAGGAGGAGGAGGAGGAGGAGGAGGAGGAGGAGGAGGACGAGGAGGACGAGGAGGACGAGGAGGACGAGGAGGAGGAGGAAGAGGAAGGAGAAGAAGAATAATAAGGCGGAGGAGGAGGAATATGATGAGGAGGAAGAGGAGGAGGAGGAGGAGGAAGAGAAAACTACCTTCAGGACGGCGCAGCGCGGAGGCGGAGCGCGCGCCTCGCGCTGCGCCCCCTGGGCGACCTCCAGGATGGCGCCGCGTTCCTGGGAGGGGGGCGCCGGCTCGGACTGCATTCCCGCGGTGGGCCCGCGCCGCGTCGACGCGGCGCCACCGTCAGGTTTCCTTCCTCTCCTTCTCATACCCTTTCTCCTCCCTCCCTACTCTTCCTCCTCCTCCTCCTCCCCCTCCCCCCTCCTCCTCCTCCTCTTCCTCCTCCTCCTCCTCCTCCTCCTCCTCCTCCTCCTCCTCCTCCTCCTCCTCCTCCTCATCCTCATCCTCATCGTCATCCTCATCCTCATCCTCCTCCTCCTCCTCCTCCTCCTCCTCCTCCGCCTCTCCTCCTCCTCCTCCTCCTCCTCCTCCTCCTCCTCTCCTCCTCCTCCTCCTCCTCCTCCTCCTCCTCCTCCTCCTCCTCCTCCTCCTCCTCATCCTCCTCCTCCTCCTCCTCCTCCTCCTCCTCCTCCTTTCCTGCGTAGCATTTTGGGCTCAAGCGGAGGCGCCCCCTGGAGCGCCGCAGCCGCGCCGTGCCCCGTGGGCGCGCGCGGCCAGCACCCGGCGGTGCGATGGGGAGTGGCGGGCGCGCCAGCCTCTCAGTGCGCCATGGGGTTTCGTTCGTCACGGGCGCATTTGTCGGCGAGGCCGCTGGGCTCCTGTTGTTCGTGCAGGCTGGGAGCGCAGATGCGGCGACGGCGCCGGCAGCAGGCGTGGCGAGGGCGGCGGCAGCGGCAGCACCTGGCCGCTCGGCCTTCGGAGACCGCGCGGAGGCGATGCTCGGAACGGCAGCGGAGATGGTGGCATTGCTAGGATCGCCAACGTTGGCCGCAGGGCTAGGAGCGGTCCTCGCCCGAGGGCGACGGGCGCCCGAGGGCAGGACGCTTGATTGGGCTACGGCGTTCCTACGCCACCCGCGTGAGGCGGAGACCGTAGTCGCTAGCCTTCGGCGCTGACTGGCGGACGGCGCCGAGCCCATGGCGGGCCTGCAGGCGGAAGCTGACGAAGAGGCGCTCGGCGGCTACGGCATGCGCGAGGAGGCTGGGCCCAAGCACTGCGTGGAGCTTGGCACACAGGTGGAAACCATCGAGTTGGAGCCCAGGGTGGCCGAGGGTAGGCTCGAGCAGAAGTCCAACCTGCGTGAGTTGCTGGGCGAGCAGGTGCTGGAGCTGCAGGCCGCCGAGGAAGAGCACCAGCAGCGCATAGCGGACATGCGCAGGGAGCAGGAGCAGCTGGTGCAGCAGCTGAACCACTAGGAGAAGCACAAGTGCAACGAATCCGAGGAACGCAACCAGCAGGTGGAGCATGGGGCGCGAGATCTCGCGAGCGCGGTGGAAGAGCAGCGGGTGGTGATCGCGCAGCTTGAGAAGGCCCTGCGTGAGCAGCATGAGATTGCTTCGTTCGCGGCGGCCCCCGCCTTCCCTGTCCAGCACATCGACTGGGAGGGCCAGTCGAGCAACGTCGCGCAGCAGCAGCGCGTCTACGCCGACCAGGAGGCCAACGGCCACCAGCTGGGCTCCAGGGACGGCCAGGGCAGGCATCGAGGACAGCCAGGTGGGCTACACAGGCAGCCAGCAGAGCATCGTGCAGAACCAGGGCAGCCCCCTGCGCACCTACGCGAAGAAGACGAGCAACGGCGACGCGCAGTCGGTCCCGGCGCGGCGGGGGGCCGCGCAAACAACCCCCAGCCAGCGCGCGCAGAGACGCGCGAGACAGTAGCGCGCAGCAGCAGTGCAGGAGCAAGTCACGGACGCAGGGACGTTTGGCTCGATCAGGAACCTCGACATCGCGCACGCCTTCACCATGCTCATGGTCGCCTCCTTTCGCCCACCTGCGAGGGTGGGTCAGCACGCGCGGATGGCGCGAGGACCTCGCCCAGGGGTGGTCGCCCTCGCTGCCCCATCCGCGACGGCGGCCCGCGCTTGGCCGCGCGCGCCACGGCGGGCGCGGCAGGGCGCGCGGCCAGGGCCCAGGCAGAACAGACGAGGCCCACCAACGACGCCATTGCGGAGGCGGAGATCAGCGCCGAGAAGGCACAGGTCGCTCACTCGACGGAGATCACGCGGAGCGGCCGCCAGCAACGGCGGAGGCGGGAGCATCGGCAGCAGCTCGGCGAGAGCGCCAGGGCGCTTGCAAGGGGTCCAACAATAATAATTAACAAGTAGCTAACAGTCAACAACGACATCACAATGAGAAACAAAACTATCCGTCGGAGGCCTGGGGCTTGGAGAGACTCCTGGGGCCCTCGCCAGCCCGCGAGGGCCCCTGGCCAGCAAGAGCCCCCATGCTCAGACGCCCATTGGGGCCTTCGGTGGAGCCCCCTGTTGGACTACGGAACGTTCGCTGTACGGGGTGGCGCGGACGCATGCGGCCGCGGCCATCGGGCCCCCGACATCCCCCAGCGTCATGATTTTGTTCGCACCGTCGACCCCGCGATGGGCCGCGGGGGCAGGTTTCGGAATCCGTCGAACACGTGGCGAATCTAAACCCTACCCCTGGCTCCCGTGATGTTCGATGGTTTAGGGGGGTAGGTTTCGAATGTCAGTTTTTTGGCACCACCTGGCAAGGCGGGGGCGGGAATCCCCCCCCCCCGGGGGGCGGAAACCGACCCCCCCTCCCAGAAAAGAAATGGGGGGGTGCAACCCCGCCCCGCCCCCCCCCTCCCTCCCCTCCCCGAGCCCTCCCGGGGGGGTTCGAACCCCCCCTCCTCCAACCGCCGGCAGCCGACGCCGACGACGACGACGACGACGACGACGACGACGACGACGACGGCCACGGCGACGGCGACGGCGACGGCGACGGCGACAACGACGACGACGACGTCGCAGATCTGCAGATCTGCGCCGGCACCCGTCCACCCGTGTTGGAGAAGAAGGAGAAGGGAGAGTAGCGGGGCAGGAGGACGAACAGCAGTGGGAAGGGGCGGGGCGGTGTTTGAGGGGTGGGAACGGCAGTGGGCGAGAGAACGCAAGGAGCAGGGCAGGAGAAGGAGAAGGAGAAAAAGGAGGAGGAGGAGGAGGAGAAGGAGGAAGAGAAGGAGGAACAGGAAAAGGAGGAGGAGAAGGAGGAGGAGGGCTGCCAGGTACGCAATACGCTTTGAGGGCACCTAGAACCCATCTTTAAGGATGAGGCGACCATCAGAACCCTGGTCAGGGTGGCTGCGGTTTCCCACTCACCCACTGCGCAACGCAGCATGCCCATGCAGAAAGGGAGTTGCAAGGGCTCTAGGAGGTCTCATCCTTAAAGTCTTGAGGATGGCAGAAACCGATCCTTGGAGTCAAATGGTTTCCGGGGATCTTAACGCATGGGGGATGAGTGTTATGAATGGGCGAGGTGCGTGGTACGTCCCCCACGGTTTCTGAACTCTCCCCGGCTTGGTTTCGGCCATCCTCGGAGACGACAGCGGGAGGGGCTGCTCAGGTGCGCGGGAGAGGCTTCGCGCAAGTGATTCAGATTGCTTCGGAGGTGTGCATGGCCCTTCTCCGGGCCTTAGGAGGGGCGGCGCAAAACCACGGCCTGGCTTTCGCCACCTCGGGGTGAATGTTTTGGTGCACTCCCGACCCCCAACGCTATGCACAGTGTGCTAGAAGAGGTACTCTTCAGTTCCTCATTGCGCCTAGATCGGGGCGTCGGCAGAGCTCGCGTCTGGCACGCCAGCCCCCCGTGGGAGTGAACGCGCCCCTCGCAACTTGCCCCTCTCGGGAGGAGGAGGAGGAGGTGGAGGAGGACGGGGAGGCGGAGGAGGAGGAGGAGGAGGAGACAGAAGGAGGCAGACTGTACCTATACGACCACCCTTCGGGTGATAAGGAGGTTCGGGGGGGGGAGGAACCAACGTCTCACTCGATCGGTCTCACTATCGATCTCACTATCGGTCTCGCTCAATCGATCTCACACGATCGATCTCACAATCGATCTCACTCGATCTATTTCATTCGATCGATCTCACAATCGATCTGACTATCGATCTCACAATCGATCTCACTATCGATCTCACTATCGATCTCACAATCGATCTCACATTCGGTCTCACTCTCGATATCACTATCGATATCACAATCGATCCCACAATAAACGTCAGCATCATCAATATCATCGTCATCAACGTCGTCATCATCATCAGCATCATCATCAGCGTCATCATCATCATCATCATCATCATCATCATCATCATCATCATCATCATCATCATCATCATCATCATCATCATCTTCATCATCATCATCATCATCGGGACACCATCATCAGCATCACCTCATCACCATCATCAACATCAGCATCATCATCACCATCATCATCGGGACACCATCATCGTCACCATCAACATCATGATCATCATCGGGACACCATCATCATCATCATCGGAACGCCATCATCATCATCATCATCATCATCATCATCATCATCATCATCACATCATCATCATCATCATGAACAACATAATCCACATCATCACCATCGGGACACCATCATCATCAGCAACATCATCAGCATCATCAACATCATAATCATCGGGACACTATCACCATCGTCACCATCATCATCATCATCATCATCAACATCATCGGGACACCATCATCATCAGCATCAGCATCATCATCGGGCCACCATCATCAAAATCACCATCAGCACCTCATCATCAGCATCATCATCATCATCTGGACACCATCATCGTCATCATCATCACCATCGGGACACCATCATCGTCATCATCATCAACATCATCGGGACACCATCATCATCACCATCGTCGTGTCCCGCCCGCCCGACCCGACCCGCCCGATAGCGTTCGCCCGTCCCGACCCGCCCGTTGGGGTTCTCATGTGTCATGCTATGTACGCGTCAGACTTTAGTGTCCCGGCCGCCCGACCCGACCCGCCCGATGGGGTCCGCCCGCCCGACCCGCCCGATAGGGTCCGCCCGTCCCGACCCGCCCGTTGGGGTTCTCATGTGTCATGCTGTATACGCGTCAGACTTTAGTGTCCCGCCCGCCCGACCCGACCCGCCCGATTGAGTCCGCCCGCCCGACCCGCCCGATATTCTCTGCTCGTCCCGACCCGCCCGTTAGGGTTCTCATGTGTCATGCTGTATACGCGTCAGACTTTAGTGTCCCGCCCGCCCGACCCGACCCGCCCGATGAGTCCGCCCGCCCGACCCCCCGATATTCTCTGCTCGTCCCGACCCGCCCGTTAGGGTTCTCATGTGTCATGCTGTATACGCGTCATACTTTAGTGTCCCGCCCACCCGACCACACCCGCCCGTTGGGGTCCCCCCCCGACCCGCCCGATAGGGTCCGCCCGTCCCGACCCGCCCGTTAGGGCTCTCATGTGCCATGCGGTATACGCATCTGACTTTAGTGTCCCGCCCGCCCGACCCGACGCGCCCGATAGGGTCCGCCCGCCCGACCCGTCCGATACGGTCTGCCCGTCGTCGTCGTCGTCATCGACGTCGACGTCATCGTAACGTGGTCATTTTCGTCGTCGTCGTTGTGTCGTCGCCGTCGTCGTCGTCGCCGTCGCCGCAGCTTCCGCCGCAGTCGTCGTCGTCGTCGTCGTCTTCGTCGTCGTCGTTGTTTCGTCGTCGTCGTCGTGTCGTCGTCGTTGTCGTCGTTGTCGTCGTCGTCGTCATCGTCGTCGTCGTCCGTCGCGTTTGCTGGCCACGAGTCGGGGAAGGGGGGGGGGGAGTCGAACGCCCCCCCCCTTGCACCAGGCGGGGGGGGGACTCGCAGCTGGCAAACGCCGTTATTGTCGGCAGCGGCAGCGGCGGCGGCGGCTGCCAGTGTCGCGTAGAGAGGGGGTCGAAACCCCCCAGGAGAGCCTTGAGGGGGGGGGTTCGATCCCCCCCCTCTGGCGCAAGACTGTGTCCTTGTCGTCGTCGTCGTCGGCGGCGGCGGCGGCTGCCGGCGGGTTGGGGGGGGGGGTGAAACCCCCTCGGGAGGGCCTAGGGAGGGGGAGGGGGGGTTCGAACCCCCCCGCCCACCCGGGGGGGGGGGGAAAGGGCGGGGTCGGGGTCGGACCTCCCTGTTCTTTCTGGGGGTGGGGTGGTGTGTGTAAGTGTAAGTGTAAGTGTATAAGTGTAAGTGCAAGTGCGTGCAAGTGTAAGTGTGTAGGTGTGTAAGTGTGTAAGTGTGTAGGTGTGTAAGTGTGTAAGTGCGTAAGCGTGTAAGTATGTAAGTATGTAAGTGTGTAAGTGTAAGTGTGAGTATGTGCGTGCGTGCGTGCGTGCGTGCGTGCGTGCGTGTGTGTGTGTGCGTGCGTGCGTGCGTGTGTGTGTGTGTGTGTCTGTGGGTGCGTCTGTGGGTGCGTCTGTGGTTGTGTCTGTGGCACTGTCTCTGTCTCTGTCTGTGTCTCTGTGTGTCTCTGTCTGTCTCTGTGTGTCTCTGTGTGTCTCTGTGTGTCTCTGTCTGTCTCTGTCTGTCTCTGTCTGTCTCTGTCTGTCTCTGTCTGTCTCTGTCTGTCTCTGTCTGTCTCTGTCTGTCTCTGTCTGTCTCTGTCTGTCTCTGTTTGTCTCTGTCTGGCTGGCTGGCTGTCTGTCTGTCTGTCTGTCTGTCTGTCTGTGTGTGTGTGTCTGTGTGTGTCTGTGTCTGTGTGTCTGTGCGTCTGTGTGTCTTTTAGCGGAAGGGGCCTTTCGTCGCCCCGCAGATCAAAAAGTGTGTCTGTGTATCTGTGTGGCTGTGTGTCTGTGTCCGTGTCTGTGTCTGTGTCTGTGTGGTGTGTGGTGTCTTTTTGTGTGTGTTTTGTGTGTGCGTGTGCGTGTGTGTTTTGTGTGTGTGTGTGTGTGTGTGTGCAGGGGGAGGGGTTCGGGGGGCAGGGGCCCCTGGTTCGTTGACCCCCCCTCAGGGATTTTTGTTGAGCATGGCCGCGGTGGATCGCGCCCCCTCCTGTACCTGATGGTCCCAGGGCCTGGCGAGGGCCCCCAGAGGCCGACAATGGCGGCAAAACAGTTCGCCGCGGATGCTCCACGACGCGAGGGGGCCGAGGCCCGCGACGGCACGCGGCCGGCGAAAACCCCCGGCGAGAGACCCCGCGAGCTGGCGACGGCCGTCAGGCGGAGATCTCTGCGCGCGGCCCACCCCCCCACAGCCCACCACGAAGGAGTGGAGTCCTGAGTTTTTTCTCCGGTTTTTGCCTCCTGGGGCCCTCCACGGGCCCCAGAACCGTGAGAAAACGACTCGGGACGAAGCTGGTCTTGGGGAAGGGCCCCAGGGTTCAGGACCCGTTTCCCTCGGGACCCGTTCCCTTCAGACGTGTGCATTTGTTCGGCGAGGACCTTCGAGGAACATCTCACATCTCGCGGAAAAAAACGCACGAGACCGATAAATGCACGTGGCATGGACGCTCGACCGATGACAAGTTTCCTTCACGCTAAATCCCCGCGCGCGGCCGCCCCGACAGCGCGACTTCTGCTCGCGCACGCCGGTCGTTGCCGCGGGCAGCGCGGCGGGGGCAGGTCCGAGGAGCTCGGCGCCGCAGGCGGGGAGCCGCCCATCTTCAGATCGAGAGATCGAGGCTCGAGGCTCCAGGGAGGGAGGAGAAGTTGTTTTGGACTTTGCCGGGTGTTACAACACTCGTGTGCCGTCATTTTGCTGATGCCACGCCTTTCCGTGGCGACCAGGACAGGGCCGCGCGCGCGCGTCCTCGCCTGTAGAGGCCAACGCGGAATGTCCCCAAAGCAAGCGGCGGTTGCCGCTCGAAGGAAAGAGGGAAGCGAGGTATAGAAGAAAAAGGAGGAGGTCATGGCAATAAAAAGGACAATCGCCAAAAGCCAGGGGCGGCAGCTAGCGCCGAGACGTGCACACGCCTACACTCAGAGGCCACATTGGGGCTATCCGCTGACGAAAGGCGGCTTACTGGTGCGGTCAAGCCCGATCCCGCTAAGCAGCAAGAGTGCGCCAAAAGGTGTTTGGGCAGGCAGCAGAAAAGGGGCCTTGTGGTCGTGGTGAGTCGAAGAGGGGGAGGACATAGAGAGGGAAGCATCAACAGGAGAGGAGCAAGCGGAGGGGGCACAGCTGAGGCCCATAACCGAAAAGTAAACGTAATAGAGTAAGGTTGATTAGACCTTCGCGCCTGCGCTGGAGTCATGGCCTGCCGCCCAATTTTCCTAGTTTGGCAGGCGGTTAACTCTGGGAAAAAATCTTGGGCCAACTCGCGCAACGGACATGGCGCCTGAGGGTGCGGGGCCATGCGGAGGCCAAATCCTGAGGGGCGCCGCAATCTCCCAGACCTCCGAGGGGAGGTGCGAGATTGCACTAAACGGTTTTCCATTTCAGGGAGAGGGAGGAATCGAGGAATGGCGTGGCAGGAGAGAAGAGGTATCACTTCAAACGAGGCCCAAGGAGAGGCTGCATAGCGAACGCTAGATCCGACGCTGTCTTGGCTCAAGGCAGCGCTGTCCGAATGTCGGGTGCACGCGACTCTGTGCGCCTCAATTGGGGTCATAGCCACGGACACAGGCCACGTCCTTCTACGATCCACTTCCCATTCCCATGGCTCCTCTCTTACCTCGCGTCTTGCTTGCCAGCAAGGGATGAATTGTGGGATACCTCGATACGTCGCCGACGTTATCCCAAGAGTAGGGTTCTCAGCTTATCACCTCATGGTCAGGCCCTGTGCCCTTGCTTCTCACTTGGTAACAGAGCTGGCTACATATTCACGTAGGTGCCTCTTACATCAGGAGTTATGTACATAACAACATACCACGGCACTGTGGAGTACCCGACTGCGCCGATTCTCAACCATTGCGCTCCCAATATTATCGAACCAACTGGTAACCTACAGTCCGAGACCTCCATCCCCCCACCGCGTGGTCACACGCCAAACACAACCCAGACACCGATGCCGATCCGCAAGGTGACGGCTACGTCCGACCAGACACCCAGTCGCAACCCTGCGGACGCGACAATATCCGACGAAAAGCAATTTAGCATCATCAGCTACAACATGACTACGCATTATGTTGAGGTTGCCATCTTTGGAGTCATCTGGGTGTGTCTGGGTTTTGCCGTGGCAGAATTGCGAGGAGGAGAGCAAGATGAAACACACTCGGGGTCCTTTTTTGGGACCCCGCAGGCAACGTGTCCTTTCACGATTTCGTTCGCGAAGTACACGGATGGCTTCAGCCTAACAGCGCGGTCTAGGAGGATTGGCTAGGACACATGCCATGAGAGCGCCATCCGCCATCATCAACTATGGTGCCACACTACAGGGGAGACGCACCGACGGAGCCACATACATCATGCACCTACGAAGCACCAACTATCCCAGCAAAGCAACCTAACAGCCATGTGCATGAGCATATATGGAAGCATTCTTTTTTAGATTCATGTTCGGATTTGACTGGAAGCGAAACGCTGCGATCAATAGTGGACGCGTCTGCAAAGGAGGCACTACTATCAACGAGACAGCACATTTCTTTTTGTGTTCATTCCAAACGAGACGCTGCTATTCAGGGGCGCAGGTGCAAACGAGACGCTGCTATCAATGGTTTCCGCCCCAAACGAGACACGAGTATGAATGGATTTAATTTCGAACGAGACACTACTACTTACTACTACGGATGCGTCTGGAAACGAGACGCTGCTATCAATAGTGGATGTCTCTGCAAAGGAGGCATTGCTATCAACGAGAGAGCACATTGTTTTTGTGTTCATTCCAAACGAGACGCTGCTATCAATGGATGTAAGTTCAAACGAGACACTGCTATCAATGGATTCAGCCTCAAACGAAACGTGCTGAGGAGCACCGCATCTCACTATCCACGGCTGCACACGAGCGCAGGTTGAGAAGCACCACACGAATGCAGGCTGAGAAGAACCACGCGAATGCAGACGGCCAGGCTGAACAGCACCGCCACAAAGCAGGCTGCATCTCAGGGCTCTCAAGCTCGCGCAGGCCAGCCCAGCGCCTGTCGGGCCTTCGCGCAGGCGGTTTTTGTCGCGGCAATCTTGTCTGCGAAAAATTCGTCGAAGGCCTTCGCTATCTGTTCTGGGGGGCCTGACTCGATGATGCTCCGGTCAGGCAAGCCGTGGCCCAAGAGCTGGCCGAAGCTCCGGGGAGGCCGCGACAGGCTGACGTAGTAGGCCAGCCAAATGGACTCTCTCTTGAGTCCTGGCGGAAACGTCCAGTGCACGATGAAGCCTGGGTCCGCCGTCTTGCCCTGCACGCCATGCAGAGTGCCCTGCTTCTTGGGCAGCACGGTCAACTGTGTCCTGGAGACCGCGATGGCCGGGCCATCCGCCGTTGCTTTGAACTTCCAGGGACGGGCCTGCGGGGCAATCGCAAGCACTCCACGCAGGTCAGGGCCGGCAGGCTGCGAAGCACTGCCAGCAGTCACCGGCGCGGCCTTCCAGAAGAGCTCATCGCTGTCATCGATCTTGACATAGGCGGCCTTGGGCATGTAGCGGAGTACCGCAACACCATCCGAGACAACGGACGCGCGACCCTCCACCGGAGGCTCCAGAGCGCGCTGCTCCATGCCTACCACCTTGCCCGGCGTGCCGCGGACATACTTAGGCGGCAAGACGGACTCCGTCAGGATGACCTCCGCGCCGAGGAAGAGCGGCAGCAGCCCTGGCATTTTTCCAGTAGCGCCGATGTCGGGCTCCGCGCGCATCTTGTCGAAGTCAGGCTTTGCGAGGCGCGCAGCTGGTCTGTCGACTGCCGGCGCGTGCCTCGGGCTGCACGCAGCCGGTGGCCCCACTGGGGTTGCTGAGCGGCTTCGCTGGTGCTGGCAGCAGGCTGACCAGCACCGCTGGAGCTAACGATCTCTGTTTTGAGGATCGCTTGCCAGCTCTCGTCAGAGATCTTTTGCCGCCTGGAGTCCTCATGGCGCGAAGGACCTCGACCTGCAGCGGGTCTGTGAAGCGCTGCATCTGCGCGAAGTCGACGACGAACTCGAAGTCGGCGAGCAACTTCCGAGCCTGTTGGCGCTCGTAGGACTGGCCCGCGCGAGGCGCCAGCAGGGAGGCGCTGGCGGGGACCGGCGGTAACTGGTAGAAGTCCCCGCAGAGGATCTTCGCCGGCATGCGCCCCCACGTCTCCTGCGGGAGCATGTACTTGGTAGAATCGAGGTTGTAGCGCAGCGCCCTGCCGTAGGTCGCGCGCAGTGCATCCGCATGCAGCAAGGGCCCCGGCACAGCACCCAGCTCATCGATCACGTCGACGCCGAGTGTGCCTGTGAGGCGGTCGAGCTTTTTCTGCGTCTGCGAGGTCAAGCGCAGCCTGGCGGTCTGCAGGGAGTCCGACATGAGGATGCCGTTGGAGGAGTGCAGCGTCCTCCCGCGCGGGCCGAGGTTGTGGGCCGCGTGGTTGGACTGTGCTTTGGCGAGGTAGCCGTGCTCGCCGAAGTAGATGATGGCCATAGGCTCCACCACTCTGGAGAGGGTGCGTGTCTTGCCGACGCCGCCTCCTCCGAGCCAGATTGCTCTGTGGTTGCCCGTCGCGGACACCACGGGGAGCAGATGCGTTGTTTTGTCTGGTCCGCCGTCAAAACGTTTCTGCAAGGACAGCGCGAACAACGCCACCGCGTCAATCTGCTCCTCCGTGCGCAATCTTGTCTGCGAAAAATTCGTCGAAGGCCTTCGCTATCTGTTCTGGGGGGCCTGACTCGATGATGCTCCGGTCAGGCAAGCCGTGGCCCAAGAGCTGGCCGAAGCTCCGGGGAGGCCGCGACAGGCTGACGTAGTAGGCCAGCCAAATGGACTCTTTCTTGAGTCCTGGCGGAAACGTCCAGTGCACGATGAAGCCTGGGTCCGCCGTCTTGCCCTGCACGCCATGCAGAGTGCCCTGCTTCTTGGGCAGCACGGTCAACTGTGTCCTGGAGACCGCGATGGCCGGGCCATCCGCCGTTGCTTTGAACTTCCAGGGACGGGCCTGCGGGGCAATCGCAAGCACTCCACGCAGGTCAGGGCCGGCAGGCTGCGAAGCACTGCCAGCAGTCACCGGCGCGGCCTTCCAGAAGAGCTCATCGCTGTCATCGATCTTGACATAGACGGCCTTGGGCATGTAGCGGAGTACCGCAACACCATCCGAGACAACGGACGCGCGACCCTCCACCGGAGGCTCCAGAGCGCGCTGCTCTATGCCTACCACCTTGCCCGGCGTGCCGCGGACATACTTAGGCGGCAAGACGGACTCCGTCAGGATGACCTCCGTGCCGAGGAAGAGCGGCAGCAGCCCTGGCATTTTTCCAGTAGCGCCGATGTCGGGCTCCGCGCGCATCTTGTCGAAGTCAGGCTTTGCGAGGCGCGCAGCTGGTCTGTCGACTGCCGGCGCGCGTCTCGGGCTGCACGCAGCCGGTGGCCCCACTGGGGTTGCTGAGCGGCTTCGCCGGTGCTAGCAGCAGGCTGACCAGCACCGCTGGAGCTAACGATCTCTGTTTTGAGGATCGCTTGCAAGCTCTCGTCAGAGATCTCTTTGCCGCTTGGAGTCCTCATGGCGTGAAGGACCTCGACCTGCAGCGGGTCTGTGAAGCG